GACCATTCTATTTATTTCACCTGATAGTTGTTCTTATTAAGGCCTGCTGGTCAGCACATTAAAAAAAATAACTATTCAATCAATCTAATCATTGGTCAGTTGCTAGAGTTTAACCATAACACAATACTGTGAAAAATCCCAAACAGGCAGTATGAAATCCTGAGTTATAATAAGTTTGGTAGTGATGTTCCTTAGCAGGGATATGATTTCCTTAAGTTTAAAATTCTCTTAAGTGAGGTATACTTACATAGCTATACTTCCATTCATGGAATATACTTCTAATGTTAGTTCCAAAGAAAAATTTCACATAATAAGCCCTATTTTTAATTGAACTCCATTATAAAATTGGGACAGCACTCCAATTAAGGCACTACAACTGCAGCATGTAGGAGGTGGTCAGAAGGAAATAACTGCAAAGAAAGGATGAGTCTGTTTGCTTTTTTACTACTACAACTCCAAGAAAGACAGCAACTACAAGAAAATGCCCATAACCACCACCTCCCTAGCTTGCTTCAGGGAAGCTTCAAGAGTTAAAGAGATGATAAGTTCCATGGGCAAGGAAAGACAATTAAACAACAATGTAAAGCCCTATCTCATTTAATGTGAACAGAATTTTCTTATGCAATTTTATCATTCATGAAATCATAAAATCATAAAATGTTGATAGAAAGAAAGAACATTAGAGATCATCTAGTCCAAGGCCCTCTTTTACAAAAGGAAGATGAGACCCAAAGAGGGGAATAACACTGAAACTGTTCTCTCCAAAATTACCAGTAATATCATAGGTGCCAAATCTAATGGCCTTTTCTTATTGCTCATTCTTCTTGACCTCTCTGCAGCCTGTGACACGGTTGATCTCTCTCTCCTCCTTGATTATCTCTCTCCATCATATCTTCTCTTCAGGTTTTCAGGACACCACTCTCTCCTAGCTTTCCTCCTATCTGACCACTCCTCTGTCTCCCTTGATGCATTTTCCTCCAGATCATACTCTCTGACCAAAGGTGTCCCTCAGGGTTCTGTCCTGGACCCTCTTCTTTTCTCCCTTTGTGCAATTTCTCTGCTGACCTCCAATTTTGCATGTCCAACTACTTTTCAGACATCTCAAACTGGATGTCCAGTAGACATCATAAAATCACTATGTCCAATGCACAACTCATCTTCACCCATACACCCTTCTCCTTTTCCCCTACATGCTCTCCTCTCCTTCCACCCACTGCCACCACCGCCCCCCCATCCCCATTACCCATTACATGAGAGGGCAATACCATTTTCCCAGTTCCTCAGGCTCACAACCTACGAGTCATCCTAGATTCTTCACTATCTCTCACTTCCCATATCCAAGCTGTGACCAAGGCCAGTCAATTTCTTCATTCCAACATCTCTCGAATATGCCCCCTTCTGTCCTCTGACACCAACACCATGCTATAACGCAGGCCCTCATCACTTCATTCCTCCACTGTTGCAATAGCTTGCTGGTGAGTCTGCCTGCCTCATGTCTCTCCCAACTCCAATTCATCCTCCATTCAGCCACCAAAGTGATTTTCTTAAAACACAGATCTGATCATGCCACTCTCCTACTCAATAAACTCCAGTGGCTCCCTATTGCAGCCAAGAGCAAATACCAGATGTTCTATTTAGCATTCAAAGTCCTTCATAACCAAGTGTCCTCCTGCTTTTCCCATTTTCTTACACCTTACTCCCCCACACATACTCTTCTATACAGTGACAATGGCCTGCTGGCTGTGCCACAAACAAGACACTCGACCTCTTGGCTTCAGGAATTTTCTCTGGCTGGCCCTCATGCCTGAAATACTCTCCCTCCTCTGCTCTGACCACTGACCTTCCTGGTTTCCTTTAATTCCCAACTAAAATCCTCCCTTCTACAAGGAAGCCTTCCCTAACTCTTCTTAATTTCAATGCCTTCTCTCTGTTAATTCTTTCCTATGTATCCTATATATAGCTTGTTCTGTATATATTTGTTTGCAAGTTGACTACTTCATTAGATTGTAAACTCCTTTGAGAGCAGGGACCGTCTTTTGCCTCTTTTTGCATCCCCAGCACTTAGCACAGTGTCTGTCACATGGTAGCTACTCTAAAAATGTTTACTGATTGGAAAAAAAAAAAACTTGCCCAGGGTCACAGTGCTGATAAGTGGCAAAACCAGGTCCAGAGCTCACATCTGCCAATTCTTAGTCAAGCCTTCAGGCCCTAAACAGGCCTGTCACTGATAATAACACTATAGATTAACTGAACATGACCAGCACCTCTCTCGTTCACATTGAGACAACTAAAGCCTTGAGTTTTTACCCTTAAGTCAAATGGCATATTGGCTTTAAAACTATCTTTGGTAAATAGTGGCTAGTACCAAATATCTTTTCATTCGGGGATACTGACTGATAAAATGTACTTGAGAGGTTTCTTCTCCTTTTCCATTTCCTCCTCAGTATCTTACACTTGCAGGGCACAATGTTCTTTACAAAACTGGAATGGGAATGTGGGAAAGTTGGGACACTAATGGTTGGTGGAGTTGTGAGCTGATTTAACCATTCTGGAGAACAATTTAGAACTATGCCCAAAAGGCAATGAAACCGTACATACCCTTTGATCCAGTAATATCACTACTAGGTCTACATCCCAAAGAGATCACAAAAAAGGGAAAAGGACATACTAGTACAAAAATACTTATAGCAGCTCTTTCTGTGGTGGCAAAGAATTAGAAATTAAGGTAATGCCTATCAATTGGGGAATGGCAGAACAAGTTGTGGTATATGAATGTAATAGAATACTATTGTGCTATAAGAAATGATAAGCAGGTAGATTTCAGAAAAATCTGGAAAAACTTACATGAACTGATGCTGAGTTGAAGTGAGCAGAACCAGGAGAATATTGTACACAGTAACAGCAACATTGTGTGATGATCAACTTTGATAGACTTAGCTTTTCTCAACAATGTAATGATCTAAGACAATTCCAAAATATGGAAAATGCTATCTATATCCAGAGAAAGAACTATGGAATCTGAATGCAGGTTGAAGCATACTACTTTCTCTCTTTTTTTTTCCTGTCTCATGGTTTTTCCCTTTTGCTCTAATTCTTCTTTCACATGACTAACGTGGAAATATGTTTAATATGATTGTACATGTATAGACTATATCAGATTGCATGCCATCTTGGGGAAGGGAGAGGGAGGAGGAAAAATTTAGAACTCAAAATCTTATAAAAGTGAATGTTGAAAACTAAAAATACAGAAATTAAAAAGAAAGGAAACATCCTCACAATAAATGAACTGAAATTCTTTCATTCAAAAAAAATGATGAAGAGAGAGAAGAATGAGTCTGGTGGATAGAATGGTGGCCTCAACGTTAGGAAGATATGTAGGTTCAAGTCTCACCATTGAAACATACTGGTTGTGTGACCCTCGGCAAGTCATTTGGCTTTAGTGTATCACACAACTATTCTACATTTAGTAGAGTGAGGTTTCCTTACTCTTACATCCTGATGAAATAACAGATCCAGACCAAGAAAAAATAAACAATATGAAAAATTCAGAGAGAGTGAAGAAAACAGAACCAGTAAAACAATACACACAATATCTATAACAATGGAAATGGAAAAAAAGGTAAAAAACAAAACAGGATGATGTGTAACTAAAATGACCAAGTTTGAGCACTGAAGAAGAGCTGAGAAAATGCACCTTTCTTCTCTCTTACAAAGGTGGGAAAATATGGATGTGGAAGATTGTACATATTGTCAGACTTGGTTTGTTGGTTGGTTTTGCTAAATTGCTTTTTCCTTTTTTTTTTTTTTTAAATTATTCATTACAAGGGATGTTTCCCGGGTAGAGGGGAATACACACACACACACACACACACACACACACACACATATGTAAAATATGTGTATATATACACATATATACACACATACATATACATATATGTATATATGCAAATGAAGGTGATATTAAAACAAAAGGCATCAATAAAAATGATATTTAAAAAGAATCCAAAAATATTTAAATATCATCATATGCTAAGAACTTTGCTAAGCATAGTAGAGTGCAACAAATTTACTTTGAACCTCAGACTGAGCGCCTAAGTTTAGGGGCCAGAAATATTTTCCATTTTTAAGGAAAAAAAATCAGAAGGGAAATAGCAGAATGGTGCCAGACAGCACTAGCACTGGTTGCCAACCTCAAGTCAAGACCCAAACCAGGATGCAGAAAGGATATCAAAACTTCTGGAAAGTCTCAAAAGAGATGGCTTTCCCAGCAGCTCTGACAAAGCTATTACTAAGACCATATGCAGAGGGATGGATGCCCAAGTGGGACCTCCCTCATCCCAATATCCCTATCCCTTCCCTCATGTGTTAAAGTGTGTAGAGAAAAGGAGGCCTCCTATTCATGGGTAAACAAGCAAAGCAGGCTTTACTCACTGACAAAATTTCCCATCACCACTGTTTACTCTCACTTCCCACCCCACTACTCTCCTAAAATCACTCTCTCAAAAGTATCCAATGACCCTCTAAATCCAGTTCTCTGAAGCAATCATTCTCCTTGACCTTTCTTCAGCTTTTGACACAGTTAACCACCTCCCTCCCTCCAGGCTATTCTTTTCCTTTCTAGGTTTGCATCATACTCAGCTTTCCTGGTTCTCCTATTACTTGTCTGACAACATCTTTTCTGTGGCCCACTATCCTAGTTATGCATCAATTTATCAATGTCCTTCCTAAAATATGGCATTCAGAATTAAACAAAATACTCCAGAAGTCTGCCAGGACATAATACAGTACAACAATCACCTCACTTGTTCTACATGATATGCTCTGTGTTGCGTGTGTTGTGTATGTGTGTGTGTGTATGCACAGCTAACATAGAACAGAGATTCAAAATGACAAGAATCTGGAGCTGATATTTATTTATTTATTTATTTACTTAGGTGAGGCAATGGAGTGAAGTGACTTGCCCAGGGTCACACAGCTACTAAGTGTCAAGTGTCTGAGGCCAGATTTGAACTCAGGTCTTCCTGAATCCACGGCCAGTGCTCTATCCACTGCACCATCTAGCTGCCCCTGAAGCTGATATTTAGAAGGCAGCTATTTTAATTCTTATTAAATCACACATTAATTTGGTAAGTACAGTGAAAGATTAAGCATGTTACAGAGGAAAAAGGTGAGTTTTTACAATCGATACATTAATCATTCCAAATGTGCCATGTAGAACATCTCCATGAGTGGTTTGGGTCTGCCTGAATTTTCATTAGAAAAGTATTTAGACCTAGTAGAAACCTTTATGTGCTTCACTCTCAGACTCCTGCATCAAAATGACCTGCAAAAGGATAACTTTTCAATTCACAATGCCCTGTGTCATAACTTTATCTTTGGAGCTTTTGACTGATTTGGACTCTTCTGTTTTCCCTTTGCCCTCACCCTCCATAAGCAGAAAGTAGGTGACAATGTCATTCTCAAGATGAATCTTGATGCCCAGAAAGATCTTGTACTTGTGATGCTCCAAGTCATGCAGCAACTGCATCTTCTCCACCTTTTAGTGGGAGACTCATCTGCTGTATATCCTGGCGATCTGGAAGAAGTAGCAGCACTCAATACTTTCCAGAGTATATATTTTTACTGTGTCAGATCTGAAGGTTAATCTCTAGGACCTGGAAGGTACATCTCAGTTCCTTGCAGCTCTCTGCATGGCTGCTATACAAAAAAAAAAAAAAAAAACAAAAAAAAAAAACAAGTTGAATTGCAATTATAATGTCCAAACCTGGCATAAGAGGAGAAAATGAACCTCCCTCCCCTCTTTACAGAGATGGAAGACCATGGGTGTGAAATAATGTACACACTATCAGATTTGGTTGATGTTTTGGTTGGTTTTGATCAACTTTTCCTCCTTTCTTTTTTTATTCTTTGTTACAAGGGATGATTCACTGGGTAGAAGATAGGGAGGGACATAGATTCTGATTGTTCTTTGTACCAAGTGTCTAAGTCTAGATAGTTCTTCTTAATTATAAACTCATATTCCTAACTCATGCCCTCTAGGACCTTAATGAGATCTCCTGAGATTGACTTAATTTGCCTATTAGCTTTACTATCACCTGTCATATGTTGCTTGCCCATTTCTTCTTTGTGGTGCTTCTTCATAAGGAAAAGCTCCTTCCTCATGCCTTTCATCTCCCTTCCGAAGTCAGATATGACAACTGTCAAACACCATCCAGGATCTTCCAAAGTACCTCCACTTCAATATTCACCTCTTTCTTGATGGACAGCTCATCAAACTTGAGAGTGAAGTATATATCATTATATCTACATATTATCAATACGTAGTAGGATCTTAACATTGGCAAGTTGGCACCCAAAATCTATAACTGCAGGTTACTGAAATTTTGCTCATCTTGAGAATAATCTTACTTATTGTCAGGCTCCCTCTTCTTATGCCATTCCATGATGTAACTTTTGAGTTTTATATCAGATATGCCCAGAGAGTGTATATCCTCTAGGTAAGAAGCGAAGTGGTCATTCAGATTCTGCATGATCTGCTTTCCATTCATGCCAATTAGGAAGCTGCCTCCATGGTTTCCACCAAAGCTTCCTTCAGATCCTCCAAATTGAGGGGTCAAGCAAAATGACCTGGTGGAGGAAACAGAAACTCTGACACCTTTAGCACTTCCATATTCTATTTATTTTCTTAAGGAAGCCTAAGAACACATTAAACTTTTTTGATTGCCATAATACGTAGTTGACTATATTGCAGTTCACTAAAATCCCTAGGCCTTTTTTCAGATGAAGTGCTCTATTTCTCCCTTCTTGTACTTGTAAAACTGATTTTTGCTTTGCTGACTTACCATCTAACTCTCAGACCTAAATGTAGAAATCTCCCAAGGCCTCTGTTCTGAGCCTTATCTCATCTCTCCATATTCTCTCATTTAGTAATAGCTTCTGCTCCTATAGGTTCAATTATCATCTCTGCACAGATGACTCCCAAATCTATCTATCTAGCCCTAAACTTTCTCTTGAATTATAGTCCTGCATCACCAATGGCCTTATGACCCAAAACTCCCCTACCTCAGTCCAGCACCTCAAAATCAACATGCATTCACTCTCTTCCTCCCAAAGCCTCTCTCCTCCAAACTTCCTCGTTAGTCTTCCATCTAAAGCTGAAAGAAACCTCAGAAGCTATTTGCTCTATCCCTCTCATTTTTATAAATGAGGAAACTTTGGTCCAGAAAGGTTTGATGATTTCCCAAAGATATACAAATATGAAGTGTAAGAGGCAGTATTTTATCACAGACCCTCAGTCCCAGAACCACTGCTGTTTTCACTGCATCATGCACGAATGCCCCAGTCACTTAAGTCCAAAACAATAGAATCTCCTTGATTCTTCCCTTTTCTTTATTCCCACAGGCAATCAGTCTTACCAATTTTACACTCACATTGTCTCTTGCATATTTCTGTCATAGCTATTTGTGTGTTATAATATTGCTCCAATTTACCTTTCCAGCTTTATCAGACAATATTCCCCTCATGCCCTTTATCCTGCAACCGAACTAGACTTCTCATTGTTTCCTGATTGTCATATGGCCTTTTTATTTACACATGTTCTCATTCTTGACAGGAAGAGACTTCCCCCAGATTGATGCCTGCTGAAATCCTTTTCATCTTCCAAGGGCCAGCACAGGTGCTATCTCCTCTATGAAGCCTTTCCTAAGCTTCCAACCTGAAGCAATCGCTCCCTTCTTGAATATCTCTTTCCATCTGTATGATCTTTTTTGTGTTTCTAATGATGTATCGTATATCTTGAACTAGATGTTCCATAAATGTAGTGGTATATGGGTAAGTATTTAACAACCAGCTCTCTGAAAGTGTAAGACACATAAGTTTAACTTGCATTATTAAAATTTTCTCTATCGCCTTCTTAAGTTTAGACAATCAACAAATAAATTTTAAAAAGGCAATCCAGTGGACTCTCCTCCAGTTCAATTTTGAACCCAGCTCACTGCCCCACTATATTTTCTGTTCTAGAGTTACATTGTGTTGGAAAATCTCATAGGGTATACAACCAAATACATGCTGAAATCTGGGTAATAGACATTTTTTATTCATTTAGTCTTTTCTGTGTGAATGTATAGACCAAATTCCTTTGAATCATTACAGATCTCTTCCTGGAGAATCTGTAGTGTTAAGGGACTTGATGCAATCAACACTTCATCCACGGTGAATTTCTCTTTGACCTAGACTCTATACTAGGTCTCCTCCAACACAGTTGGGAATATCTTTGTCAAGAATGCATCTCTAAGGGGCAGCTAGGTGGCACAGTGGCTAGAGCTCTGGCTTTGGAGTCAGGAGGACCCGAGTTCAAATCCAGCCTCAGACATTTGACACTTACTAGCTGTGTGACCCTGGGCAAGTCACTTAAACCCGATTGCCTCACCAAAAAAAGGGAAAAAAAAAAAAAAAGGAATGCATCTCCAAAAAAAAAAAATGCTTCTCCCTTTTTAATGCTTCACCTGATGTTTATTATCAGAATCATTGAACATTGTTTTTTCTGTTGCTACATATTCCAAAGAATCTTGAATGACATTGATGTACAAATGAGAGATCTTATTGTAAAAGAGCATGCTTAATTATGACATGGTAAAGATGTGGTCCATTATTAAATACCCCTTGTGAAAGCTTCCTTTTTCTTTACTAATATCCTTATTGAGCCCTCAGTTTGTGTACAGATGACTGATAAAGATTTTGTGTGGTTGAGTGATGGCATAAAGCTCAGTAGTTATTGATGTTCTGTTACTTTTTTCGGTATTAATAATTAATAAATTTTCACAACTTTGGTACCTTCACCTCCCTTTAGACATCTTACAGATCAGTCTATCAATGTCTTCACAATTATATCACCTCCAATCCAGACCTCCTCTACATATACTGATTAAGCTACTTTTTCCTATCTTTGATATCTTTAGTTCTATCTCAACCTCCTTTGGGTTTTTTTTTTATGTTCTACACTGGGATGTTAGGGTCCAAGTATGGTGGTTCCATTATCTCAATTAAGAAAGGTTTAAGATGGTTTTTGTTTAAAAAAAAATTTCCATTTTTCTGTTGTCAAAACAAAATATATTCATTTTTAGGCCAGTCATATAAAATCCATATTAATATGAATTCCACAATGAATTACAAATATTTAACCTAGCACTATTCAAAATACACTATAATCTCAAACTGTCTGCTGCCTGGGAATAACCCAAGTCTACATGTAGTGAAATATATCAGGAGATAACACACCAAACAAAGTGAAGCCTTCCCCTTATAACTATGAAGGTTAATTAGGTTGTGAAAATATTCTTTTAGATGCAAGTAACAAGAATTTAGAATGCCTAAGAAACAATCTATGAAGAGTCAATGATGATAACAGAGCAGTTATGATGTTTTGCCAATGCTATATCAAATTTCAACAAATCTAGTCTTTTATTTCAATTATTCAGTTCACCCTTTTTATACTTCTGATCTTCATCACCTCTCTTTAAAACTAAAATCCAAAACAACCAATCCTAACAACCATTTGGCTTAAAAGACTGGAGGGGAAAAAAAATAAGTTGTCTTACCTAAGAGAAACATGTGATATATTATCTGAAATCTATTTGTTTCACAAAACAAATTTATTTGTAATTTACATTACAAAGGAACTCTCCTACCCTACTCAATACTTTAAAATCCTGAATTCCTTTGGGATATTTATATTGATTCTTTTCTTAAAAAACTAATTTATACAAAACTTTAAAAGAAAATATCGACTACCATAAAACCCTTATAATACTAACAGGATTTTTTGACCCTACATGAATAGTTATTGCCACTGGTCACTTATTCAAGTACAGGTATTATACCCACATTGCTTTTGATTTGTATCCCCAGTACCTAGCCTCACACATAGTAAGTACTTAATAAATGTTTTGCTGATTGACTAATAGTACAAGCATGACAATTTGCTCACATATTCACCTATGGTGCAAATGCAATTGCTTACCTAATACAATCACATCGTAACTTTCAAATAAAAACACAAAGGAAGTGTCAAAGGTCATATTAACCTTTCATCACTAACCCTCTTTTCATTTTATTCCAGTGCCTAATGGTGCAGTAGAGATGTTACAGATGCCTAATGATGGGGTAGATTGGTATAAGCAGGTTCTAACATGTCCTATTACAATTAGTCAACAAGCATTTATTAAGTGTTTACAATGTGCCAGATATTGTGCTAAAACTAGAAAGGCTTTAAATATGTTCTGTGTATCAGTCCCCCAAAGACGAGCATGGTTAAATTCAGAGATTTTCATCACCAGAACATTAACCATATTTTTCCTCTTCATGACTTTCTCTGACCAATCTATTGGGGGGAGAGGGGGGAGATGTTGGCCTATACCAATAGAGCGACTACCTACTAAATTCGATTATTTTGAATTGGGGGAATACTCATACCAACAAAATCAGTACTCAAGTGTTGAATATATTTTTATATTTTTAACCTAGCATTAAGTCTTAAAATCCATAAAAAGTGAAGTGTTCAAACTTGTATTTTTATTTTTAAAAACTTTCCCCACATCAACCTCTGCTCATATATGTAGCATTTCAAAAAAAAAAAAAAAAGATAGAGTTCTCCTTCAAATTGTCATTTAATAAATAGGTTTTCCATACTATTATTTTTGGGCTTACAATACCACATTTAACCAAATGAAACAACAAATTTCATTTTAAATAACAGCAAACCTCCTAGAAAACTCTTGCCCAAAAGCACATTTGGAAAGATATATCATGCTACACATGGAAAAATTGTTCAAGTGTCTAAAGGCCTTCCAAAGCAAAAGTGAACTTCAAAATTCTTTGCCAACAACTTACAGGCCAAACTGCACCGTTTCCTCTTTCTTATCCACATTCCTACTCAAACCCATTTTAAGAATCACAACTAGATCCAAAAAATGCAGAAACATACCAATATCTATCTGTCCAATGCTATCAAGTACTCTCCTAGTTAAGGTACCGGAATCCATATTTAATCGAAGAAAAAGGAGGAAGCACATCTGATTTCTTACACTTTGCCTATTCTTGAGAGTACCCCCTAGATGATCATAAATAATCAGATTTTCACCTAGGGCAGAATTTTCACCAATAACCACATAATAAAGTTAAAAGGATAAGTTTATAAAATGTTAAGTGATTAAAAGGAAACCACATGATATTTGTTACTGGTGTTAGTAAGGTTTGTTCTTGGCATAAAATGAAAAGACATAAAAATCTGAAATTTAATTCAATTCAACTAAGTATTAAGTGCCTACTAGGTACCAGGTACTCTCCTAGAAACAGGAAAACAGAGACACAAAAAGACAGTCCCTGCCCTCAAAGAGGTCAAATCCTACTGGATAATGTAAATGTAGGGTGACATTACCATTTTCTTTCTTTCTCTCTGCCTCACTCTCTCTCTCTCTCTCACCCTCTCCTTCTCCCTCTCCCTCTCCTTCTCTCCCTCTCTCCTGGACTTGTGATTTTATCAGTGGAGCAGATTATCAGTTCATCTGCCACTTACAGTCTCAGAGAAATGACTGCAACAGTGAGGTTACATGATTTGCCCATGGTTTTAC